GCCAGGAGTCAGGGCTGACTCAGCAGGTGCTCACAGAACCATGACTCACACTTGCCCCCAGCCAGTCACACTGTCCCCAGTGTGTTTAGGCGAGGCCACCATTACCAGGGAGGAGAAGACTGGGGGGTGGGGGGGCAGGTTTGGGGAGAAGCATGTGGTAGGATTCCCAGGGGGGCCCTGGAGGCAGCTGGGTTTGCCCCTGAACTTGTGGGGGTTGTGGGTCAGCGCAGAGGGGGGTGGGGTTGGGGGGGGGGGGCTCCAGGCTTCTCCTGGCTCTGCTGCTCCATCACCTGGTCTCGGGACACACTGCTCTCCCTGGGGGGTGGGGGGCACACAGGTGCCCCTGCTCACCTCACACTGAGCGTCCTGGCCCTGGCTGGACCCCAAGTCCTACCGCCAAGACAACTCTGAAACCTGCCCCTCCCCTGTCCCTCCCATGGCTCCCAGCGCCCCTACAGCAAAGCCCATGTCCCTCACTGCCCGTGGGGTCATGTGGGGCTCAGCCCCTGCCCCCCGCCCCTCCCCCATGGCCCCCTTGCCTTCTCCCTCAGTCCCAACAGCCTTGCCACTAGGCTTCAGATCACAGAGCAGTGGCCCCCATCCCGGCCAGAGACCCCCTTAAAGGAGCCCTTTTCTCCCAGCCCTGCCGGGGGTCTCCCACCCCAGCCACCCCACCCTTCATTCCTTTCTTCTTGTTTAACAGCTGTCTGCCCTTCCCCCAGCCAGAAGCCCAGGTGGGCGGGCAGAACCTGTCATGTCATCATGGGTTCCGGATCCCCATCCCCAGCACAGAATCCAGGACACATGCTGGTGGGGTGATGAAAGCCGCTCCCCATGTTTTCAGGGAGCACCAGGTAGTCCCCACTTGAGAGGGGATGGTGGGCAGCCTGCTGGGGTCAGGGGCCAGCCTGGTCAGTGCCACCCACCTTCTTTAGAGAGGAATAAGGGGGAGATGGCCCCAGCAATGGGGTCCCTAGTCAGAGCAGGGACTCGGGTCAGATGCACTTATCCCAGGGGGGTGGGGAACCATTCTGTGCCTCAGGTCTGTAAACTGGGGACACCTAAGGTACAGGTGGGGGTGGGGTGGGAGTAATCAGCCACTTGAAGCCTCTCTTCCACAGCTTAGGGTCATGACGGGCCAGTGTGGTCCTGGTCCTTCCATGCACAGACGTTCAGCCCTCGCTCTACATCAACAGGGAGCCTTGGTGGCCTCGTGGGTCACCTGTTGGGCTGCTAACTGCAAGGTCAGCAGTTTGAAACCACCAGCTGCGCCGTAAGAGAAAAGGGAGGCTTTCAGGTCCGGAAAAGAGTGACCGTCCCAGAAATCGGGGGGCAGCTCTCCCCTGTCTGACACGGTCCCCGGGAGTCAACTCCATGGCAGGGAATTTGTTTGTTTGTTTGTTTGTTTTCTCATGTGAGCCGACAAACCCCGAGTCCCAGGGAGGTGACTGACCTAGGGTTCGAATCCAGCCGCGGCTGTTTCTCCCTGCTTCTGTCTCCACCGAGAGGTCTCCTCCGGCCTCCTTGGAGATCAAAGACCTTGGCTCCCGCCCTGAGTGGTCCCAACTCTCCCAGGTCCCCTATCCCCTAAAGGAGTAGCCACCGTCCCAAACTGGACACCTAGGCTCCACACTCTGGGCTGTAGGCTGGTCCCTGGGTGACATAAGCAGCTGAACACACGATGATCGAACGGTTGGTGGTTCTAACCCACCGGAGGGGCCGCAGAGGACAGAGAGAGCAAGCTGCTTCCCAGAGGCCATGGCTTTAAAAGCCCTCTCCCAAAATGCCAACCCCCCTTGCCACGGAGCCGATCCCCGCTCAGGCAGAACTTCCCCGGTGGGTTTCCGCCGCTCTAAATCTGTGTGGCAGTAAGAAGCCTCATCATCCCCCCTTGAAGGGCTGGTGGTTTTGAACTGCTGACCTTGTGGTTAACAGCCCAGTGCGCAACCACTAAGCCCCCGGGGCTCCCTTGAAAACCCCATGGGGCCGTCCTATTTAAGTGACTGCCGGACGGAGACCCTTTGGACACCGTCATGTCATGGGCTCCCTCACCAGGACACTTGGTCTCGGCGCGTCCCTTGCCTGCCCCGTTTGAGATGAAATCGGCGGGTGTGTCCATGAGACCACAGCTGGCCCACAGCACCACCCCTCCCTGCCATGGGGGGCCCCCACCAGGAGTTGGGGCCCACTGGACACAGCTAACAACAAAGCTGGTCCTCAGGCCGCTTTGGGGGCTTCTGAAGATTGTGGGGCAGGGGAGGGTCCCGGGTCCTTACCCCCACCACCAGACCACCCCCCTTCATCCCCGGCTGCTCACCTCGCTCAGCAGGAAGGAGTGAGCAGTTCCACTGCGCCGCATGCTGCCCGGGAGTCTGGATCTGAGAGAGGCAAGTGTGAGCCTCCCGCCCCCACTGCATGCCCATCTCTGTGATGCCCCTCCACATGGACAGCTCACTACCGCTCCAGGCGGCGTGGTCTGCAGCTGTGGATCTCTGTCCTGGCCATCCCAGAAGACCTTCCCCCAGAACTCCCCTGGGGCCTCTGTCCCTCTTTCCCTCGATAGAAATCACTGGTGTCCACCTGCTCTCCCCTCCAAGGCTTCTCCCCACATTGGGGGCCCCAAGGAGAGAACCCCAAGCCCAGCTGTCTGTTCACAGGAGCCCTGCCTGCGGTAGGTGACACCCTCACCCACCACTTGAGAATTCCCAACTCACACCAGCACCGGGGCTCTCCAGACACCGAGCCTCCTGCCTAGTGGAGTGGGCCCTCCCAGGAAGCAGGAGGTGGGGCTGTACCTGCAGAGAGGCGGCCCAAGCACACCCCCCCTGGTCATCTGGGCCCCTTAACTCTCTGAGTGCCAGTGACCCCAGCCAGCCAGGGGTGGGGAGGTGAACACTGAGGACAGGAAGTAGGGGAGGGGGGCAGCGAGAGTATGGGAGGTGCCCAAGGGAATGAACGTCAAGTTTAATTATTCCTGAGTTTATTGCCACTTAAAAAGAAAATGAGGTGAAATTCACATCACAGCGTGAAGGGTGGTTCTGGTTGCAATATTCAGCCCAAACTGCCACCTCTGTGTAGTTCCAGAACATTCTCATGGCCCCAAAGGAGACCCCAGCCCCATTCCCCAGTCACTACCCCCCACCGCCCCCCACCCCCCAGGCACCCACCAGTCTGCTCTCTGTCTGTGCAGGCTGATGGGGTCAGTGCCCTGTGGATCCCTCTGGTCTGGCGTCCTTGGGGAGCGCCAGTCTCCTGAGGCCCATCCCCTGACAACACGTATGAGATTCACCCCCTTTTCGCTGAGTCAGGTGGCACAAGCTGTCTGCCCTCGGCCAAGTTGGTGGTCCCGCAGAAGAAAGGCCTGGCGACCCCCTGCAGACCCTCTGGAGCACCGCTCTGCCCTGGCACCCAAGGAGGGGCTGGGACTCAGCACAGACGCCAGGCCTAGGGGTTAGAGCAGCGGTTCTCAACCCGTGGGTCGCGACCCCCTTGGGGGGGGTGTTGTCGAATGACCCTTTCACAGGGGTTGCCCGACTCACAACAGTACCAACAAATGTAATGTTATGGTTGGGGGTCCCCACCACGTGAGGAACTGTAGGAAAGGGCCGCGGCCTGAGGAAGGTGAGGACCCCTGGGTTAGAGTTGCTGTGTGGGTATAATTTTTGGTGGTTTTGAGTGAGGGGAGACAGAATGAGAGCTAGTCATGGGAGGAGGGTGGACAGATCCCCCCTCTCCCCCCAGAGGTCCTGGTGGGGGGCATCTCAGGAAAGCTTCCCCCCTCCTGGTGTTATGCAGCCCCCACTCCCCCACCCGCACAGGTGAAAGCCTCTGGTTCAGGTGCCAGGGCTGGAGCCCGGAGTGGCCAGTGGTCAGGGTGAGGTGGGGGTAGGGAGACGCGGCCAGGGGAAAGGGGGGCATGTGGCTGCCACTCCCGAGCCCGAACCAGAGTTGAGTTAATGTTTCACTTGTGTGGCCGCCTGCCTGGGAGGCCCTGTGTCCCCTCCCCGGCAGGACCATCAGAGCGTGGCGCTGGCCCTCCCTCAGGCGGGCTTCAGCCCCAACTGGCTGGGTGACCATGGCTCCGTGGCCCCTCTCTGAGTGCCCATTTCACCGTCGGGCCAGCTGAGCCCAGGAGGGGCGGCCCCAAGCATGAGACATGGTGTGACGTCCAGGCTCCATCTGGGCCTCAGTGTCCCCCTGGACTAGAGAAGTCTGAGATGATGAGGGTGGAGGCAGGAAGCGCCCACTGCCCTGCCAAGTGTCCCCAGCCATGGGCCTGTCCCTCCTCAGGTCTCAGTTTCCCTACCTGGCCCATGGGAGGGAGGAGGCTAGCTCCCCTGGCCCTCCTTGGGACATGGCAGGGGCTGGGGGGCCGGGCTCCGAGTCTCTGCACAGGAGCCCTGGTGGCACCAACAGTTCAGCGCTCAGCTGCTCCACGGAAGAAAGGCCTGGGGACCTGCTTCTGGAGAGAGAACAGCCACGGGCCCTCTGGGCAGCTCCACGCTGCCCACTCGGGTTGCCGTGCATCACCAGCTGGGCTGCAATTAACCAGTCTTTGCCCAGGTGGCCCCTGCCTCCTCGGCAGGATCAACCACATCCTGGTACTTACTGGCTGGAACTCTTCCCCCCACAGCCCCCAGGACCTTCACACACATACACACACGTTCACCCTGCTCCCACCAACCCCACACACTGCAGCCTCTTCTGAAACCTTCCCGGTGTTGTTCCTCTTGGGATTCCAGGTCTCGGCTCAACCATCCCCTCCTCAGGGAGGCCCCCTGCCCTCCTGATCAGGGTGGGCACCCTGGGTCCCTGTGGTCCAGCTCCAGCTCCTGAAACATGACCCTGTGACCCTCAGCACCTTCTGATATAATCTCCTGAGCCCCTCTGGTCCTCAAGACGGGACACCCTAAAGGTGAAAGCCTTGGTATCCTTCTTCATACACAGGTGGCCCAATGAATGAATGCCGCGGTGTGCACGCATGACTCTGGAGGCTCAGGTGAGCGGTGAGTGATTTATTCACAGGCCCTGCCCCTCCCCAGGGACCCCGTCTCTGCCAGCCATGCCGATCACTTCGGGAGGGGGTAGGCAAAGGAAGACCTCTCGCTCAGCACGCCCTGCAAGAGGAACAGGGGAGAAGACTGGTCAGGTTTTTGCAGGCTCTACAGCAGGGGACTGGCATGTTTGGGAACCCCCAGGCCAACCCTCTTCTCACCATGGAAACCTCATCCAGCTTCCGGAACTTGGACTCTTTCTTCTGGCAACACCGCACGGCCATGACCACAGAACCAATGACCAGGACGGACACCAGTAGACACACTGCCACCACTACACCTGGATTTCTCTGTAGCTCGGGCGCCCTGGGCCCACCAGGAGCTGGAAAGGGGAGTCCTGAATCAGCCTAGGACCCCAGTAGGCCGTACTCCCAGGGCTGGGATACCCACCAGGGCCCGGAGCCTTTTAAACCCCTTCCCGCCAGCCACGCTCACTTCCTTTCCCAGGTTTCTGCTACAACCTTTTGTTAAGCACACGGGGGGTGGGTGTAATGTGTTTGTCTATGGGGAATGCATAAGTGGACTCTAAGTGGACTACATTTTTTTCTGCCACTGTGGGTGGGGCATTTCTGGAGTACTCCCAAGGGCAGAGAAAACCCAAGAGGGCCTGGCTCCTAGAGGCAGCCACCTTCTGATTATGAATGAGGCATCTGACCCCTGGTGAAGACCGGGTAGGTTGTGGGAGTTTAGGCTGGTGGTCCTCCCCGTCCACAAGAAGGTTCGGGGCGTTGACAGTACATGATTATACGTAACAATGATTTGGGGCCTCTGGAACCTCGGGTTCGGTGTGGTCTGTATCTCACAACTCCTACTCTCAGTGTCCCCACCTGATACCCCACCCGCCTTCTCTCTCATCCTCAAACCCACCAGGCACGTGCTGGCTGCAGGCCCTGCCTGGCGGCCCCTTCCCCCTCCCCAGAGACTCCGCGTGGCTCCATTTCTCTCCAGTAGAGGACTCATCCTCCAAACCCATCAGAACACTAGCCCACACTCTGACTCCTCCCCCTGACGCACTCTGCTCTTTTCAAAAGCTATCCCTCAGTGATGTGTTTATTACCTGACTTGCCACACAGGAGCACAGAACCCGGGTTTCTCTCCCACACCGGAAAGAGCGGGTTTGAGACTATGACTCTGTAGGGGAGTAGAAAGCCCCGCTGTCTCTGGCAGTACCCCTTAAAAACAAACTCACTGCCCTCGAGTCAATGCGGACTCAGCGACCCTCTAGGACAGCGTAGAAAGGCCCGTGAGTTTCGGAGACGGTCACTGTTTACGGAGTAGAAAGCCCGGTCTTTCTCCCACAGACGGTTAGTGGTTTTGAACGTGTAACCACGACACCACCCGGGCTCCCTGCTACACCTAAGGGACTTGAGAACCCTGGGCGGGATGAACGGAGGCTGTCCAGGGGTGGGGCGGCGCATTCCCCGTTCTGCGTCCCCCCCTCGTGGCTTCTCTGAAGAAGTGCAGCACGGCACCCAGCCCCACCCACGTCCCCAAGGTACTCACTGGGGCCCGAAGCCGAGGCCGTCTGGGAGGTGGTGACGGAAGTTGTGGAGGAGGGCTCTGTTTGGGTGCTGAGGGGCGTGGGACCCCAGGGTAGGGTCATGGAGGTATTTCTTGGGGTGGCAGCAGTGGGAGGTGGGGAGGAGCTCAGAACTGGGGGGCCCGAGCTGTGGTGGGAGATCCTCTCTGGCTGCAGGGAGGTAGGGACTGTCTCTGGACTTAGAGGGCTCCCGAGCGTGGAGCCTGCCCTTGAACCTGGGGGGCTGAAATAGACGGACGTGTCCCCGGAACTGGTGGTACTAAGGTGGGCGATGGCAGATTCCCCTCTACTTGAACTGCTGGGGTCAGTCTGGGAATGGTGGGTGCTAGGGTGGAGGGTGGCACTGCTCCCTGTGGGTCTGAGGGTGGAGGCCTTGGGAGCTGGCTGAGGGTTGGGAGGCGAGGCCCCCACCGGCTGGCCCAAGCGCCACAAAGTTGTAATATCTGGAAAGAAACACAGTGTCAGAGGGCAGGGAGCAGATGGTGAGGAAGAGGCTCTGGGGTGGGATGGCCGTGCTGTGCGCCCTGGGGAAGTCCCTGGCCCTCTCTGGTCCCCTCTTTCTCTGGTAATTAGGGCACCATATGAGTGCTCAGTGGGGGAAAGCGGGATCGCCTCATTCAAGTCCTCCCTGGCCGGCCCGCTTCTTGCCTCTGCATACCCTCTGGGGCAGTGGTTCTGAACCCTCCTCATGCTGCGACCCTTTCAGACCGTTCCTTGTGTGGTGGTGACCCCGCCCCACCCAACCATAACATTATTTTCATTGCTGCTGTGATGAATCGGGCGACTCCTGTGAAAGGGTTGCTCGACCCCCAGGTTGAGATCTGCTGCTGTGGGGGTCCATCAGGACAGTGCTTGCAGGAACTGGTGCCCCCCCTGCTCCCCCACCCCCCTGCAAGTGCTCACTCAGGCAGGCAGTGAGGGGGAAGCACAACCCAAGCTTCACCGGTTCGGCAAAAGGTTACGATGTGCTCAGCTGCCAACCAACAGGCTGAAGGTTTGAGGATACCCAGAGGTGCCGCAGAAGAAAGGCCTGGTGGTCTGCTTAGGGAAAATCAGCCACGGAGAAGCCCTGTGGGGCACAGTCCTGCTGTGACACACCTGGAGTGACCAGGGGTTAGAGGCCAGCTACCTGGAAGTGCTCAGGTTAAACTCAGAGCTTTGGGTTTTGTTTTTTGTTTTGGGGTGGTGGGGTGGAAGTGGCCAGAGTGCCAGGGACCTGAGAGGCATCAGTGGGCTGTGTTTCTGGAACCCTCCCCCCATCTCCTCTGCTCCGGCTGCTCCCTGGCTCCCACCCAGTCCCAGGCACGGAGCCCAGGGGCTGGGCGAGGGGTGGGTAAATATTTTGTGGGCCACCTCCCACAGTTATTTCCTATCCTGGTTCCAGGCCACTGAGCACCTTGGCTGTCACATGTCACTGTATCAGCCGCTCCCTGCCCTGCCTGCTCCTTCCACCCTGGTTGCCCTCTGGACTTCCTTCCCCCAGAAATGCAGAAAGAACACCCAGCCTAGGAGTGCCCCCCACCCCACATTCCATCTCTCTGTCATCTCTCCCAGGTCATTTTGGAATGATCGGGGAGTCTCAAAGAGCTGCAGCGCTTTGGCCTGACTTCATTCCCATCCATCACGGGCAACGGACATTCCAGGGGGTAGAGAGTCTGGCCTGAAGTGACCAGGGGGCTCTCAGACCCTATAAGGTTCCTCTTCAAATGACGATGAGCAGGGGGTCACAATGAACTAAAAGCCAAGCCAGAATTCTGCCTAGCTGAACTCTTTAAGCAGATGGGGGGGAAACTAGTGGGCCTTGGGGAACGGAGTGGTGTTTCAAACCTGCGTTGGGATGCTAACTGCAAGGTCAACAGTTTGAAACCACCAGTCGTGCCTCGGGAAGAAGACAGGGCTTTTGACTCCGGTAAGGAGTGAGTCTCAGAGACTCACAGGGCCAGTTCTACCCTGTCCGCCAGGTGGCTCGGAGCCAACACTGGCAGTGAGTGTGGCTTGTGGTTTGATGGGCCGTGGGGGGAAAGCACACCATGAGAGGCACGCCATCACGTCTCTTTGGCTCACAGCGACCCTACCTGGGGTTCCCAAGGCCGGCCATCTTTCCGGGGGCAGATGGCCTCGTCTTCGTCCTGAGGAGCAGCCGGTGGGTTTGAACAGCTGAGTTGTGATTAGCAGCCCGGAGCCTAGCCCACAGTGCCACCAGGGCCCCTTGGAGCTAGATCCAAAGGAGGTTAAGGGGGCTTGTTTCTACGTATCATGCCAAGTGATTGCGTTTCTTGGAGGAGACCCGGAGACCAGGAAGCTGGCAGGAACCAAGTCAGTGGTTTCTAATCAAGGTCTGACCCAGACTGGGGACCTGAGCCGGCTGAGCCCCAGCTTTCTGAGCTGGGAAACGTGGCTGAACATGGTGGTGTTGGAAGGAAGGTCCTGCCGCCCACCGGCTCCTCCCCACAGGGACCTCTGCCCTGCTAAGAGGGATGGAGGCCAACGTGGACACAAGCTAGCCACTGCTCGTGCCTGGAGGGAGGCCTGGGACAGTGAAATTAACTCGACTCTTCTCCACCCTGGGAATCCTCTCACAGGGTCACAGATACCACCAAGAACTTCGTAGGCTTGGAGGTGGGGCTGGGGTGGGCCGAGGGAGCCACAAACACGTGACCAGGAGGGTGCTCCAGCCCACCCCTCAGGCCCTGGGCTTCCCCGGCCCCTCCCCTTGGGGGCTGGGCTTTGAGAAACTCGGGTTTGAAACTGGCGGACGCAAGATCCCCACCCCTCGCCTCGGACTCCAGCGGGAGTGCCCCAGCTGTTCGCACGGCTCCTCCGCCACTTGCCACGGGGCAAAGTGGCCGCCCTGGTTGGGAGTGGCGAAGGGACTGGCAAATGGGCCGCCCGGAGGGGTGCGGGCGCCCGAAGTGTGGCCAGGACGCGCACCCCAGCTTCTGGGCTCGCAGTCTCCCGCTTACCTGTGCTTACCTGTAGAGGCGACGGTGACTGGAGCCCCGTCGGATTTCAACAGCAGCGCCAGTACCAGCAGCAGCAGCAGCAGCAGCAGCGGTGGCGGCGAGACCGCCATTCTGGAGCGGGGAGGGTCGGCCTATTCTGCACAGGTGTGCGCGCCCAGGTGTGCTCGCTTTGCGCTTGCGGGCGCCCCCTCCTGGCGGCGCGAGGGACCGCGCAGGTGCGAAGCAGGGGCGGGGCCTCGGGACGTCCACCCCGCGCCTTCCTCAGCAGCTAGCCCGAGCCCTGACGCCAAGCTCTCTACCCTGTGCCCCCGCCCATGCCTCCCCGGCTCTCCCTGCCGTGCCGGTCACTGCCCCAGAGCCGCCTACCCTCCACGCCTCCTCCGAATCTCTGCAAACGGAGACTTGGATGGGCTTGAGTCCAGCGCCACTCTTCCCCCTTCCAGGAGGCCTCCCGGAAGACCCTTTTAGGCGCCCCAACCTCCTCCCCGCCCCTCCCTCTGCCTGTCTCTGACTCGCCTTTGGGGTGCCTGAGCCTGGCCCTGTCCCCAAGACGGGTACCTCTTCAGCGGTGGGCGCAACATCCCCAACCGGGGACGTGCTTGGCACCTCCCAACATCTCTAGAGCGAGGTGCCCATGGGTGGGTTTTCTAGGATCAAGGGACTGCCTGCCAGGCACGCTCCCTGCTACAGACACCCAGCGTGTCAGGGACAGTGTCCCTCTGGATGCCACCCCACTCGCTAGAGGACAATGAAACCACACTAGCAGCTCCTAACCTCCAGAAAGACTTCCCATTCTGGACACACACACACACACACACACACACACACACGAGCAAATGGGGTGGTGCGGAGGCCTCGAGCTCCTCCCCAGGTTCCCCTACCCTCCCTGCCCTAGCGCCCCCATTCACCCCTCATGCACCTCAGGACAGAGCACTTCAGGACTCAGGCTGGGAAGGATTTTATTCATAGATCCGGCCCCTCCTGGTGGCTGATTCCTAGACCCCGGGATACTTGGTGTGCCTCTGCCTGTCACAGGGTCTATCCTGGCCCAGGATTGAGTCATTTGCCGGGCAGCTCTTGGTGAGTCCCAGGAGCGAGTCGGTTGTCAGGCAGGCCCTGGTGAAGTGGCCACGCCAGTTTGCTTGCAGCTTCTTGGCGGCTGCCTGCTGCTTCTTGAGGTGGCTCCGGGCCAGATAGCCCCTCCAGGCGGACTGGATGGTGGTGGCCGCTTTTGCTTTCTCGCAGCAGGGAGGGAGGGTGGTAAGGGAAGGGCCAGGGGGGCTGGTGGGGACCAGTTGATTGCTGACAGTCCTCAGTGCCGGGGCACTCTCCTGGCACCCAGCTCCCTGGCCCGTGCCTTGCACCACACGGGTTTGCACGGTCTGGCCGCACATGTGACAGGTGCGGGGGCTGGAGCCCACGAGCAGGACCACACTGGGCGGGGCCCCCAGCCCAAGACTCAGTGTCTGGCAGAGGGCACAGGAGCGTGGCTGGCAGGACTGGAAGCATCGGTGCTCCGATGAGGCCCTGGTCCAGTTCCCGGGAGCTGACCAGACAGCCTGGGGCTGTGGCTGCTGACCCTGGTCCTGCTGGGTCTTGTAGCTACACCAATGGGTGTGAATGGTGTGGGCAGTCCCCTGCAGCTGGTAGAGCTGCCGCCGCACCACATGGCCACGCCACGCTGCCTGGATGATGGTGGCACTCTGTTGCCACTCTTTAATCTGGCGGCGCACCAAGTAGCCTCGCATGTGCGCCTGGATGATGATCACAGCAGGGACACGCAGCTCCTCCACCTTCTGCGCCGCCCCCCACTGCTGCCCCGAGCTCCTCCAGCCAGCTGCCTTCACATCCCACGGGCTTGGACACCTGACCGGCTGCCACAGGCTCCTGGGGCCTACCATGCTGTCCCTGGGCCCAGCCACGATGCTGGGGGCGGCGGCGGCGGCGGCATTGGTGTTCCAAGGTTGCTGGCCACCCTCCACACCAAGGACCATGTCTCTCTGCAGCGCACTGAGGGTCTGGGAGGGTTGGTGGCTGCTCTTCGGGGCCACCGAAGTGTGGGACTCCTGCAACTTCAGCGGGGATGCCTGGTCAAAGAGGGGTCTCCGGGAGCCACTGGGAGAAGACTCATACCCCAAGGACACCCTGTGGACGCCTGGGTGGGTCCTAGGGACACTTATGCCTTGGGTGCGCATGATACCCGTGTACGGGGTGCCCACAGAGGACCTGGTGCTCTGTGAGGGCTGAGGGGGCTTCTCCTGTAGCTGGGGGGGTGGCACCAGTGTGGTCACAGAGTCACCCAGCATCTCAGCCACAATGCTGCTGTGCACGGACTTGTAGGATTGGGTGCGCACGATACCCATGTGCAGGGTGCCCACAGAGGACCTGGTGCTCTGTGGGGGCTGAAGGGGCTTCTCTTGTAGCTGGGGGGATGGCACCAGTGTGGTCACAGAGTCACCCAGCATCTCTGCCACAATGCTGCTATGCACGGACTTGTAGGATTTCCGGGGCCCCAGAGGTACTGGGCGGCTGCTCTGGGCCACGTCCCTAGTCATGGGGGACAATTGGGTACCTGAAGCAGTGTTCATCTGGAATTGACTGGGCACTGCCCCGCTAGCCAGGGGGGGTTGTTGAGGTGTGTGAGAAGGCATGCTGGGGTGTCTGGACCACTGTGGAGGATCTGGGTCCGTCAACTGAGTGTTGGACCCTGTGGGGATGCTGGGGGCCCTGAAGTTGCCCTGGGGTGGCTGGGATGACCTGGAGGGTGGGGGGAGAGCAGCTGCCTGGGAGTGACTCTGGGGAAACACAGGTGGCTTTGATGGGACCCCAGAGATGGCCTGGGACTGTGCTATGAGCCTGTTGACCACAGACTGCGTATGCAAACTGATCCTGCTGGATGCCCCATTACTGGCTGCTGGCTGCGGCTGCAGCGTGGGGCTGGTGTTGCCAACCCCAGAGTGAGCGGCTACACTGGCGGTCTGTGAGGGGGCGGGGGGCATACCACTGCCCACAGGACCTGGAGGTTGAGCCCAGGCCCAAATGTTGGCTGCATACTCTGAATGTAAGGCCTGGGTCATGCCATTGACCATGGAGCCTGGTGGACAGGTCTGGGCCACCCCACTGGCCATGGACCCTAATGGCTGGATCCTGGTGCTGGTCACAGATGCCGGGGGAAGCCTCTGGGCCACACTACTGACCATGGCATCCTTTGATTGGGTCTGGACAATGCCACTGACCATGCCACCCTGTGGGTGGATCTGGGTCACACCACTGACCATGCCACCCTGCGGGTGGGTCTGGGTCACACCACTGACCACGCCACCCTGTGGGTGGGCCTGGGTCACATTACTGACCATGGTACCCTGTGGATAGCTCTGGGTCACACCACTGACCATGCCACCCTGTGGGTGGGCCTGGGTCACAGTACTGACCACGGCACCCTGTGGATAGCTCTGGGTCACACCACTGACCATGCCACCCTGTGGGTGGGCCTGGGTCACACCACTGACCATGCCACCCTGTAGGTGGCTCTGAGTCACACCACTGACCATGCCACCCTGTGGGTGGCTCTGGGTCACACCACTGACCATGCCAGCCTGTGGGTAGTTATGGACCATGCCACTGTCCACAGACTTGGCAAAGCTGGTTGCGACCTCCCCTAAGAATGGCGCCCAGGGCTCCTTCACAGTCCCCTCCTGTAACTGCAGCGCAGGGGCATACTCATCAGCTCCCAGGGACTCTCTGTATGTCCATGGGTTCACTTGCAGGACCACAGACTTGCTGTTAAAGTCATTGGCCTCTCCACTAGATCCCGACACCTGGGACAGGACCTTATCCAGCTCTCCGCGGGGAAACGTGGCCCGGCTCTCTACGGCCCCGAATGACATCACTCCCTGGTTCACCTGGGAGACTCTGGACACAACAGTGGGCACTCGGTGAAGGCTCCTGACGGTGCCACTTGCTCCTGATGCCGGAGTGTGCACTTGTGCCACACTAGCACTGCGGGACGCCTGGAAGGAAGTCAGGCACCCCTCCCCCACCAGGGACCCCTGATAAGGCCGAGGGGTGATTCCAATCAGCAGGGATCCCACAGGGACCGGGGTCACCAGGCTAGCTCTAGGTTCTAGAACGATGCTCTGACTCAGCCCCCCATCCACAGGTGCTGGAACTACCCCAGGGGCCCCCGCGGTGGCCGCATAGCCTGAGGGAAGGGTCTGGGTCACACTGCTGGCAGAACAACCTGGGGAGAGATTTTGGCCCGTGCCCCGGATCACAGACCCTGCGGCCAGGCTAGGGGTCAGAGCAGTGGCCGCAGTGCGTGGTGTCATGCCTGGGGTCATCCTACTGGCTACGGGATCGGGCCCCAGACCACTCGCTGCACCCATCATGGTATCCTGCGTGAGAACACTGGCTTGTTGGTAACTAGGGGTGACCACGATGGCCACGGAAGGAGGCTGGTAATCCAGGCCCACGGGGAGATCCACGCTGAGCTTGGGGATGCTGGGAGCCACGCCCACCATGGAGCCATTGGAGAGAGACTCTGCCAACCTATTAGACACCGAAGGCGGGGAGCCTTCCGGGGCTCTGGAAGTCACTGACACTCGCTCACGGGTCAAAGGCCCACGGGATCCAGACACCCAGCAGGTAGCAGGCGCCATGCCACCAGCCACCTGAGACTGACTTTGGCCCACACCGGTAACCATAGTTCTCCGAGGCATAATTGGCGCGGCACCCGCCACCGCTGTCTCCTGAGCCAGATTCGGGGTCATCCCTCTGGGCAGAGTCTCCTGGGAAATGCTGATCGAATGGCCAGATCCAGTAGCCAGACCCCTGGCCATCGAGGCCTGGTAAAGGTTAGGTGCTGAGGTGGTGACAAGGGAAGTTTGGCCCATCCTCCGACCCATACCCTCGCTGAAGTTGGGGTGCCGGAGGCTGGAGGCTACCTGAGGATCCTGGGTTATGGCTGCCCAGCTCTCTGAAGCAGGCTGGCGCTGCTGCCAGCTCAAAGTGGCTGCAGAAGGGTCTGGCCTAACTGACATGACACCCGGGGCCATGGAGGCCTGCTGCAAACGCGGGGCTACTGCATCCACGGTCCTGGAGGACTGTCCAC